TTGAGGCTTATAGCAATTGTTTTATTTCAGATTCTGGTGGCTACTTTAAAATCAGAAAATTCTTCTGGTCTAAACAAATAAATACAAATGCTCATTTTAATACTGTTATGTTTCACAATTATAACATTAAGCTATTACCTTGTGCCAGTAACTGTCCCCAAATATCACCCAAATATCCTCTATCCTATTCCCACGCATCTCATCCACACTTTGTCTCTTTCTCTTGCTCTTCCTCTCACTAAAATTTTCAATCTCTCCCTCTCCTTTGGCACATTTCCTCTACCCTTCATACATGCAACCGTAACCCCAATTCTGAAAAAGCCCAACCTTGACCCTAATTCCCCGTCCAACCACAGCCCTATCTTGCTTCTACCATTTGTCTCCAAGATCCTCAAGAGAGTTGTGTATGCAAGATTGACATACTTCCTCAAATCCAACTCTCTGCTTGATCCACTTCTATCTGGATTCCGTACTCTGTTGAAACAGCTGTGAAGAAGTGTACAACGATCTTATCACTGCAAAATCCCATGGCCACTACTCAACCTTAATTCTCAGACAGTAGCTGCATTTCTCCTTGCGACTGGGCATAAATGGGGCTACAGGTATTGTCCAAACAGAAAAACAAGAAAAGGTAAGTAAGTAGAGGAAACTAAGGAAGAAGAGTAGGGAATTAAAGGATACCAGTGATGCAAAAGCTACACACCCCAGTTGCAGTCACCTTGTAGGAAATCTGGGATCATAATTCGCTGCCCAGGTACTCTCCGTCACCTGATTGCCAGTTTTCTGGGGTGGGGTTCGGGATTCTGTTTACTGGGCAAGGGGGCATGTGTACACCCTTCTCCTAGCTCCCTCCTCCCCCATTCCCTCTCTCATCCACTCTCAAGAGCACATGACCTAATGACAGCCCCCTTTATTTCACTCTAATGGTTGTGCAGACCTCAAAGGGTCGCAGGGCCCCCCACAAGATCTCCATGTAACGTGGTCCTTAGAGGAAAGGACACATTTTAAATTATCTTTATAGGCTTTCCACTGTTCCCAGATCTTATTAAATAAGGGAACGGGAGTAGTGATTGTCTTAAATCTTGTCCCTAACTTCTCTAATAGATGGAGGGAACGTTTGCAGCTAGTGAGCTGCTAAAACTCACCTAGCTGCCTGAGTTATTTTATTACAGAGTTTTTTTCATGGTGGGTCATGCCTTTTCCCAGGGTTTGGACAGTAGGAAAAGCCAGGGGTCAAGCTTGAACAGCCTGTGGAAGACACCCCTAAGTAAAGATCTGAAATCCCCCCAGAACTGTGTCAGGACAGGGCAAAACCACCACATGTGAGGATAAGCTCCCCTCATCCCGCACATCCACCAGCAATCATTAGTGGGTCATACTATCCTACATGTAGACCTTACATCTCTTCCATCTTCCCTGCTACTACATCTCCCATCCTGCACTAGTGTCCAGCATGTGATCGCATTAGAATGCGATCACATGACTATTAATCTCATTTTTACAAAATACATACTCGTTTTATCATTATTTACTATGGATTATTTTATATATTGTTTTTTAACATGATCCATCATCTATTTTAAGCTTTGTATGATTTTGAATAATTCTGTATTTTAAATGTTGCACTGATGACGTCATTTTGGCGCCAAAATTTGAAAAAGCATGTTTTATCTTAGGTTATAAAAGTATCTATGTACCAGGCTGACTTTTACTATTGCCAGTTGATAAAGCCCTGTGTGGCGAAACACGTTTTGGCTATTTTATAAATTTTATATTGTACTAATAAAGGAATAGTGGCTATTTATAACAATTTTGCCATATAACCTTTTTTTATTTCATTTTTAATAATTTTGTCATTACCTGGTCATATACTATTCTGGAGCCTACACAAGACCAAGAATCCTAGGTGGGGATTATACCACCTATGCGGTTATATTGAGCAGTGTACCCTGCTCATCCAAATGTGAGTATTTTTATTCCTTTCTTTTGATTTAATTTACTCATATCCAGTGAGCACTATATTTTGCTTTTATCTCCTTTGCAAAACCGAGGGATCATCTTCACCTATACCCTACCAGTGGGGGACAAACGCCACTGAATGCCAAATACACTAGAGCAAGTCTATGCTCTAATATAGGTGAGTGTATTACCTATTTATTATTTCTTCCATCAACAAACAGTCTACACTATTGGATCGTCTTTGTTGTCTTTCTTTTTTCTATGTCTACCATCGAGCCAAGACTCCTCTAAAGATTAGAAGATCTACTTTCCCTATTGGACATACTACTACCATACACTTACTGGAACTTGTAAGAGAAATATACTAAATACTACAACCACCACTTTATCCATTTAAACTTACAATACCTACAATTTGGACTATTATTATTTATTATTTTTTATATATTTCTCTTTTACATATATTTATGTGTTAAACTGTTTTTATATATTTATTTCCGCCTATTTGTGTGTTTTTTTTGTAGCGCAACCTATCATTCTTGTTTTTGCCATACTATCCTACATAACTGCACCGGGGTGGTGTGCCATCTGAAGAGGATCTTATACATTTGTTTCTGCTAAATCACACACACTGAAACCTTCACTGCTGCCTCCCACATATCCTGCCACTAATCTCACTCAATCTCCCCTTCCAGGTCTCTCTCCCACTGGTCTACATATCGTAGCGGGCCCCAGGCCTGAGAAGTCGAGCAGATGTCAGTGTAAATGTCCATAATGAGCCCCCTCCTATACTTTCCCTGATGGCATAGAGTCGCAAAGAAAGTGGGTGTAGTGCCCCTTCCAGTATCATTTCTCTGCATATGACACGCAAATGTATCTGTCCTCCCCTGATTTCTCACCATCCCTCTTGACTCGTGTCTCTGACTGCCTCTCTATTTCCAACTGGATGGCTGCTCATTTCCTTAACCTTAACCTGTCCAATACAGAACTTCCCTCAAGTGTTACTACTCCCTTGTCTGTGCCCCTCCAAGTCAATGGCGCTACCATCCACTCTACCTCTAAGACTCGATGCATGGTGTTCTCTTTGATCTTTCCTTCCCTCCTCTTGTCCAATCAATCGCCAAATCCTGCTGCTTTCATCTCAAAAACATTGCAAGCATCCAACCCTATATAAAACACCTGATACGGCAAAGGTGCTTGTCCATGCTGCTGTCCTCTCTCGCCTTGACTACTGTAATCCGTTTCTCAGTGGTCTTATGTGTTCCCAACTTGCCCCATTACAGTCTATAATGAATGCGGCAAAGCTCATCTTCCTGTGCGCCCACACTTCCCATGCCTCTCCCCTTTGTCAGTTGCTACTTTGGCTTCCTGTAAGATATAGGGCTCAATTTAAGATCCTGACACTCGCTTACAAACCTCTACACAATGGTGCTCCCACCTACTTATCCTCACTAATACACAAACATGTCCCATCTAGTCCCCTATGCTCTGTCAGAGACGTAGGTCTAACTTCTGTTCATACTTCTACCTCTAATGCTCACCTTAAAGACTTCTCTACAGCTGCACCGTTCCTATGGAACGCCCTTCCCCTCTCTGTTGGACCTCTCACCAAATCTCCACTCCTTCAAAAAAACGTTGAAAACGTACTTCTTTAGGAAAGCATATCAATTAAACTGTGAGCAGCTATCCCTCCCCGCACCCTGATTACTCTCATGAAAACAAAAACTACGCCTTCCTAGTAACCTATTTTTCTACCCTACACTTAACTTTTGTGTCACTATACCCCACTCCCTCCAGCATGTAAGCCCTCTGTTCCTGTGCGTCAAACTTGTCTGGTTACAAATACGAATCTGTTAGTCCACCCATTGTACATCTGTATGGTACTTGTTGGTGCTTTATAAATAATAATAATAATAAAATACAACTTGGATTTCAGTCAACGTTTTATTCAGACATATCTGGTTTACTAGCTGATTCCTCAGTAATTACTCAAAATGTTTTCCAAGTGTCAGACTTAGACTCTACAGGGGCTTATCCCCCTGGTTTTAAAGCTACACTCATCTCATGTAATATGCCTAAACTATTATTTTCTCACTAATTTATCTACCCAGGTACAGAAATGCTGGCCATCAGAAAAAAGCACATAGAGCTTATTAACATACTTTTTTTTTAATATGCCCCTAAATGCTGGATGTCCAACATAAAAAATGGATTGATTTGCATTTCTGACATTTTTAATTTCTTGTGGGCTTAATGAACTTGTTATTTATGTCTTTGTCAAAATAAATGATTTCCTGTACTACTCCCAATATTTTTTTTCCAAATGTAGACAGAAGCGTAAATGCAAGTGTGATCTTGGGAAAACTATAGTAAGCAGACTTGTAATGAAAGGGCAATGGGTACCGATCACTTGCCTAGAATTCAAACTAGTATTTAGTCTTTTGAGTGTGCCAGGAACAAAAACGTAAAAATAGTTATTAGGGGCTTCATGGAAACTAGAAGAATGAACGGAAAGCCAAATATAAAAAGACAATTTAGGGTTGGCTAGAATCCTAAGATCTTGAAATAATAAAAAGAGAAAAAGAAATATAAATTGCGATCAGCTAACCATGTAAGAGACAGTGCTTTGAATGCATTGCTGAACTGCTGATTAACAAGTTCTTTAACCCCTTAAGGACCAAACTTCTGGAATAAAAGGGAATCATGACATGTCACACATGTCATGTGTCCTTAAGGGGTTAAGTTTCGCAATTTATATTTTTTAAAGAATCTATACTAATTACCTCGTATAGGTTGAATAGGTCAAGGGTTACTCCTTGTCCCATGACCACTTTATTGATTTGAAATGGTGTGTATCTCCACCTCTGTCAGTGTTATTGACCTCTGTCAGTGTTATTGACTTTTTGGGCTGGCTAATGTCAATTCTGTGCAAATCTGACCTTTGAAGCAAGCACACATAGCATGCTGGCGCCAGACAACCAATGGTTGCATGCTCCCCACTCTGTCTGTCATCCCAGGGGGAGTGGCGTCAGACAAGGAGGATCATGATGCAGCAAGAATTTGAACTTGGCGATGGAACGGAGGTAAAATTGGTGGCGATAGATAAACATCCTAGTATGTCATCTTGTTGTATTCTTCTTTTGTCTCAATTTTGGATTTTCTTTTTTTGATGACCTTAGAGGCAAAAAGTATTGATAGATAAATAGATAGATAGGATTAATGGTTGGTATTTGGGTTCTGTAGATGTTTAATTTTAATGTCATAGGTTCAAGTTTTTTCTAACCTTCTATGTATCATAGCAGATCCTTTTATATACAGGAACACTGAATTATACCTATAAAGATATTACCCAAGTGCAAAATCAATCCAGTGCCCTAAAAACCCCAAACCTTCCTTTACATTATTTTATTGTCTGGTTCTTCACCAACAAACCAGTTTATTTTATTACCAGTCACATGTAATGTTTTCATTGAAACATAACAAACAGCATTAGTTTTCATTTTATAACATACAACATTAGTGCAGGAAATTATTTACACAAGCACTTGCAATGCATTTTGAAAAGCATTGTCGTACTGGCCCGTGCCTCTCTGTGGCTTCCAACCCATCTTTGCGATCACTAGATTGTAAATGGAAATACCTGGTATTGGAAAGATTACCACACAGGCTTTGTAAGAGAAGTAATACTACACTGTAATATGTTTAATTTGAAACTCTGTTGTGCATTAGAGACCAACATGAAATAATGAGACACAGATGCTCAAATTAAAACATTAATTGGCATGACAGACATAGGAGATACATGTGTGTTCTAGTATAGAGACTCTGTAGTACTGTGTCAACTGGTACAGTAGATAGAGAAAGGTACTTTTGTGATAAAAAAATCAAAGTCATACATTTAATACATAATAGATTATTAAAATTTGCTGATTGACTTTTTGTCTTGTTTTGCACATTGTACTACAATTTATTAGTGAAAAACCACAATAAAAACTGATTTCTTAAAACAAAAGTGATGTTTTCATTGATTAACACACACACAGAGAGAGAGAGAGAAGTGATTGCAAACTTTCAGAACATTAAAGGATCACTATAGGGTCAGGAACACAAACATGTATTCCTGACTCTATAGTGAAAACCCACCATTTAGGTGGCTTGCCCCCTCCACTCCCTTAGCCCCCTCAGAATGGGTTAAAACTCACATTATTATCAGCTCTCCATGGGTCTGGCAATGCTTCCCCCACCCCCTTGGTGACATCATCAAAATTGTCGAATTTTAGCCAATCCACATTGGAAAGCATTGGATTGGCTAAAAACAGCAAGGGGCCAGGAAGCCCCTCCAGTGGCTATCTAAGGAGTGGCCACTAGGGCCAATGTAAACACCGCTCTCTTAAGCTGTAGTTGTTCTGGTGACTACAGTGTCCCTTTAAGATCAAAGTTGCCTTGTTCAGGTTTCATGTCTAAAGATGGTAGATCTTAATCACACAACTACTTTTCTTTATCTATATCTATTTTAGTGTAAACACAATTTTTCAGGAAACATAATTACACATTTCAGGACTGCACTGGATAAAATAAAGACAGGGGGTTGCTGTTCAGACTTCATTAATCTCAGTCATGTCTTATCCTTATGATTTATATATGTGTCTGAGGTATATAAGCAAAAGGGGCACCCTAGGGCAGTCTCTATTAAAGAATTTTGGAAATCCATTTCCCATGATGCTCATTTGGGCTTAAAGAGACACTATAGACACTGATATCACATTTAAGCGGTTGCAGTATCTGAAGTACCTGAGTGTTGTCCTTCTGACCAGTATTAAACTGTTTTAAGAGTCTCCAACAACCCTTCCCCTCTATGCTGATTGAACAAGCTTGAACAGCAGTGGGCAATGGTGATTGGCTGAGAGTGTCAGCTGACCATTTTATCCTATCACATACTCCATTGCTAGTATAAATTTGTATGGCTACAAGGAAGTGTGTAATCTTTGTCTTAGCCATAGCGACAGTGAGGGCTGGGATGTAGTGAGCCATATAACCTCAACAAGAGTTAAACTGCTCACAAATGGTTTAACATTAAATTAAGGGACATTGCTAGGGAACTCTAAGCACTAAAACCAAATATATGAGGTGAAATGGTTATAGTGCCAATAGTATCCCTTTAACACTGGATCTGCAGAATAGGAAGTACAATTCAGAAACTTTTGGGCTGTTTTGGCCATCACTGCCCTATGAACTTCTGATTAACATAATAGGAACAAATATAAATATTTTAATCCATGTTTTTATAGATTAAACCAAGTGTATTTAAAGGGGTCACTTACGTAAGACACTAAATCCCTGCTTTATATTAGTTAATGCTGTGACGGTAGTCACTATCACCAGGAGCCTAAGATGAACACTTGTGTAGTCCCCAGATTATGCTTATGTTTTAGTCCACCTGTGCCCATTATAGGGGCAGGGAATGTTAAGGTAATTGTTTATTGTTATTTGTTTTCTGTGCTTTCCTGTCCTGCTGATGCTTTTGACCAAGTATGTGGATTAGGCTGCAGAGCCTGTACAGCACCATCTGTTGGTTGTGAAGATCTTGAAACAGCTATACTCACTACCTGAATAGCAAGGTTCATTAATTATCATATTCAGGTTTATTAGCATATTATGAATTCTGCAGGCTTGGGAGATATTTCTTGTTAGTTATTGTCTTCCCTATGCCTTCATAAATATGTTATTGTGTTTTTATGAGTGACTGTATGTTTCACCATATGATTTGGTTATATATATTAGATTGAATGCGTCACCATAAGTTAAATGTCACGTGGATATGGTCAAGTCCTAACTGAAAATAAAGCATTATGTGTTAGATCCATTGGGAACTGTTTGTCATGTGTGGTTTGTTCAGGTGTCCCAGTAAAAGATCTATTGGCTGACTGCTTTGGTCCCCGATTCCTTGGACAAGATAAAAAGAGCTAGGCGTAAGAGCCAAAAGGGACTTTGTAAAGGCAGTAATTAAAGAGGCCTAATAATAAACTTACAGTGGGGAGATTAAAATTTATTTCACAGTTAAATATGTTAATTTATACTACTTGATTATTAAAGCTCATTATTCTGATAAGGTGAGAGCAGAGATTGGCTAATAAAACAATATGGTACTCCGCAGAATAAGAGATGGAGCAAATCCTTCTCAGTATTCCTTCCATGATCCCTTCCTTCAAGTGTTTCCTATGCACTCTTTCTAAGTTACTCACTAGAACTGTTATTTGTGGTAACCCAGCAGTGTAAAAGCCAGCATCTCTGTTTTTATCTAACCATAAACAATTAGACTTGGGTCTGGTGTACTTGGTAATTGAAATATTAAGAGGAAATGAGCTGAAACTCACAGTAACTGAATTAGTGTTTTCTGCCTCCAGCTTTTTTAATTTCAAGTCAGGGTTAGTTTAAAAATGTATTACTTTTTCCTTATTTAATCTTTATTTTTTCAGTTTTCCATAAAACTCTAAACATATCACTGAAACTAATCATTTCTCCTTAAAAAAAAGTCTGCATTTTCTGGTTTTGTATAAGTGTGACTTCAGAGATGTATTATGTTCCATAAATACTTGGAAATATGTTGTAAGTTTAAGTATTTATAGATTCTTTTTACTGCTTTCTGTTTATAGATTTTGCTAATGGAACTGAGAGCTTGTAGTTCCCTGTCTCTCTTTTACCAGCAGAGACTGGGTCAAATACCTTTAATTAGACTGCCCTTTTGTACTCCAAGTTGGATTGAAGAATGATTCACAACTACCCTAAGAGAGAAGTGATGTGTTAAAAAGCCAAGGGTCTTGCGCTTTGGTAAAAGCTGTAAACATATCGAGGATAGTTAGCCAGTGTTCTACTTAAAGGGACACTCCAGGCACCCAAACAACTTCTGCCCACTGGAGTGGTCTGGGTGTCAACTCCCATCATGCTTAACCCTGCAAGTGTAAGGATTGCAGTTTTTATAAACTTCAATAATTACCTTGCAGGGTTAAGTCCCCTGTAGTGACTTTCTATCAGACAGCCACTAGAGGGACTTCTGTTTTCTTAAAACACGAAAAAGTGTTTTAAACTACGCTGGACGTACTCACATTATGCATAATGCTTTCCTAGAGGTCTAATGCGCGCACACGGCAATTGCCGCGCATGCGCATTAGGTCTCCCACGCCGCCGTCCGCGTGGGCGGAGCCTGACCCAGCGCAGAGGGACATCGGCACTGGATTCAGTTAAGTCACCGAAGTAACATGAGATGGGGGGTGGGAGGGACCTGCAGTGCTAGGAAAACGGATATGTTTTCCTGGCACTGGAGAGTCCCTTTAAGGCCAGAATAGCCAATCTGGAAGCATAGCTGAATAAGAGAATGATTCCATTTTATCTGGCCTTACATTTGAAATTCACTTCTCACTTTAGTGAATGATCCTGTAAATCTTACACTACTCTGCGATATAACATAACAGTATCATAACTCTAACATTAGTCTCTAAATTATAACTAACATTAGTTCAATAAAGCAAATCGCAGGTAACCTTCCTATTCATTTCTGTTATCTTTCCATCCATTTAAAAGTAATGTATAAAAAAAAGTCAATATTTCCACGTTAGTAATTTTTTTCTAAATGTGTGTGAAAGTATGCTTGCATTTGTATCTGAAAAACTACTTTGATATTTATTATATCGTTAGTGATCTAGATTATGCAAAGGAGTTACTGAGACACAAATACATTACTGTAAAGCCTACTATCACAATAAAAATGAAGCAATACATGGATAGATCTAATATTTTTAATTTTGAAGTTTAACAGGTATTGTATGTAAATTCAATAATTTGCCCTAAAAGCTATAAAAAAAAAGCTAATGACATCAATATTCTTTTATATTTTTAGACCATGATTTTCATTGTGGCGAACCTCAATGCAGTTGGAGCCCTCTTTTGTGTGGAGACCTGAGGAAGCCATATCTCAATGCCAGCTGGAACGCAAATTTCTCATGCTTTTCAAGATTTCTCCCTTAATGGAGCTCCGACCTGATCCTTTTTTTGCAAAAGTACATATCCACTTACCTAATCTGCTATGAATATCCATCCAAGACACAAACTAATGAAATTACAGCGAATAATCCATTCAAATTTATTAAGATTTACTATTTTCCATGGAAGGGTTTCAGTGACTTCAGAAAGCCACAGGGGCAGACATACACCCCATGTAACATTTGTAGCACATTTAGCCATTCATACAAACAGGCATAACTATGAAAATAATGGAAGATAGATCTTTTCAAATGTTGGAATTTTTTCATCAACCTTTATTTGCCCTTAATGATGATAAAGATATTTAAAGAACCATACACTATCATATTTATATGCTACACAGCCACATAAGCAGCAAACTGTGATGCTTTGTATCATGACCCCTTTCTGTCATGGCCAGCATTAAGTTCTTCAGCAAGTTAAGCTACAATAGTTTTTCAGAGTGAATGGACCAGACGGGATAGCCATCGCTCCCCATGTGCATTAATGGGTTTTGTACGCCCATGACCTTGATGCCGATTCACCTTCCTTGCACCACTTTTGGTAAGCACTAACCACTACATACCAGCCACAGGACACAAGACTTGCCATTTTGGAGATGCTCTAACCAAGTCATCTAGCAATCACTGCAGATCTTTTTGCATGCACATTTTTCCTGCTTCTAACACATAAAATTCAAGACAAATAAAAACACTCTAATTATATAGTGTGTAGACTCCAGGAGCTATCTAGTGGCCGATGGCTAAAAATGCGATAAATAAACCTAATAGGTGTAAGATGAAACGGTAATGACTCTTCACTTAATATATATGCCATCCCTTGAAAGGTATCATTATAACGATACTATCAATGTTATTTATTTCACCTGTCAGTGGTTTTAATGTTGTGGCTGAAAGTTTTTATATATATATAAACTCCAGGGAGCCCAGCCGCCCTGCATACCTGTGCGACCAGGGTGCCCGCCAGCTATGTAACGTGCCCGCGGCCCGTGCTGTATACCCACCAGGGCTGAAGGGGCCCATCGGGTGGCCCATGCTGTTAGGGCCACCCGATGGCAAATAGTTTCCAGGGGGCCTGGTCATCGCTGCGGCACTTTACTAGCACGACCCAGGTCCCCTCTCTGATGATGTCAGAGCTGGGAGGAAGTGACAGCCCTGGTCACTTCCTCGCAGCAATCACCAAGAGCTGCACTGGAGGAGGAAGGGGAGGAGGGAGTCAGAGTGGGAACTCTGACTTCCATCAGACTGAGCCACTGGACCCCAGGAAAAGTCACCTTCCTGCACCTAAAAGGTTGCACCTAAAAATGTGCATGTGTGTGTGTTTGTTTCTATGTGTGTGTGTGTGTGTTTGTATGTGTCTGTATGTATGTGTGTCTGTATGTGTGAGTTATGTGTGTATGTGTGTCTCTGTATATATGTGTGTGGGGGAGGCCAGGGTAGACGTATGAGAGGTGAGGGCAATTTTCACACTGGGGCCCTTATGGCTTCTAGTTACACCTCTGGTGCTGGATGTGTGTGTGAGTGGTCCAGTATGTGCGTGAGGGGTGCTGAGTGTGTGTGAGCAGTGCAGTGTATGTGAAGGGGGCTCTGTGTGTGAGGGCTGCAGTGTTTGTGAAAGATTCTCTGTGTGTGTGTAATGGGTGATGTGTTTGTGAGGGGTGCTCTGTGTGTGTGAGAGGTGCTGAGTGTGTGTGAGGGGTGCAGTATATGTGAAGGGTACTCTGTGTCTGTGTGAGGGGTCCTGTATTTTTGAAAGGTGCTCTGTGTTTGTGAGGGGTGTTGTGTTTGTGAAGGGTGCTGTGTTTGTGAGGGGTGCTGTGTGTGTTTATGAGGGGTGGTGTGTGTGTGTGTGTGTGTGTGTGTGTGTGTGTGAAGGCTGTGTGTAACTGTGTTGCTATAGGGCCTATATATTTGGGTATTCTTATAGGAGTAAATAAGCATTTAAAAAATATATATATATATATATATATATAAATATATATATATATATATATATATATATATAAATAAAGTCCCCTCTCCTATCTGTTTACCTTTTCCTCAGGGAGGGGGACATTGCCCTGGTGGTCCAGTGGAGATAAGCAGCTCTAGCCTGCCTCCAGCTCCTTTGGCTTCAGGCAGAGTTCAGTCCTTTAGCAAGATCCTTGGAGCACTCCCCACCGGTGCATGAAGATACATAGCAGGGCCGACACTCAAATAGTGCCGGCTCTGCACACATCCTGTGATCTCCCCTGCCGGCCTTGGCCCATGTCTATGACTGCCCACGGGGCTAGTCTGTGCAACATCCAGAAGAGATATCTGAAACATAGTTTTTCTGCACATTCCTCTGAAGTGCACACAGGGCCGCCATCAGAAATTGCGGGGCCCCTAACACAGCTCAAGGTCTGTGCCCCTAGGTGCCCGCCTCCAAGCCCCGCCTCCAAATCCAGCCCACAGGAATACACACACACAGACACACACACAGAAAGATACACACAAATACTGAAACAGACATACACACTGACGTACATACATACTCAAATACTGACACACACACATACAGACATACATACATACTGATAAACAGACCTACATACAAACAGACATACATACATACACATAAATACATACTGACATACATAATGGCATACATACACATACATACTGATATACATACATACAGACACACAGATACATACACACACACTGATAGATATATGCATACACAGATACATACATGCATACTGACATACATACTGATAGATATATATACATACATACTGACATACACACACACACATAGACATACATACATACATACTGACACACACACAGACATATACACACACACACACCTCATTTATCAGCCACCCTCCTCTTACCTTTAAGTTACAGGAGGGTGGCTGGGAGCGGATGCCTCCGGTATCCTCTCCTGTCCTCCGCTCTCCCGCTGCTCTCCCCCCGCACGGATGGGCCCTGGTGCAGATGCACCTGTGGCAGTTTCGCCGCTCCACGTGGGGCCCGGTCAGCCGGGCCCCCTAGGGCCGCTGGGTCCGTGACAGCCGTTATGGTTGTCACCCCCTGATGGCGGCCCTGGGTGCACAATGGTGATCTCACACATTTTAATTACTGTGTGATTTTTTTTTAAAGGCAAACAATTGGAGATGGGAGGATACATTTAATGGATTTGGAATAGGTGGAAAGTAAGTGGATTTTTTACATGGGTTTCTATTGATTTTTAAGGATTTTAAATTACCATCATAAGTATATTTATTTACTTTGTGACACTTTGGTGTTTTATTGGTACTTGTTTATTTTTAATATTATAAATCAGGACTAATTAGAAATCTAGTTTGAGTATATTTTCTTTAGTTCCACTTGGTGTGTAGAAATTATTAAATATAAAATATAAAATTTAGAATAGATGTATTTTTTTTCTTTCTTTCATTTTTTCAATATATTATTCCTATTTAATATTATATTTTGTATACATATAGGGTGTAATAAGAAATGGTACGTAATATGTATAGGTACACTTAAACAGAAATGAGGAAATTGTGGATAAAGTGCCAAAAATGCCTTGGGCACAAACACGTCACATCACAAAAATTCCTTGCTCCTTAATCAGTTAAATGAGCATAGGGATCTGGAATAGTGTAAAGATAACCTTTTTGCTTGTCTTTTGGATATGTATTTTGGATGATAACTTCAATAGCCATTGCTGTCACACAGCAGTAGTGGAATTTCTGTCCACTCAGGGCTTATTTCTGTCAAAATTCTTAATAAAAGTGAGAAGTGTCAGAAATTCAAAGTTAATTTAAAATTTTAGAAAAATTGCTGAACTGGAAGCATAACTAATTTAGAGAATTATTCCAGCAAAGCTATTTTGGCCTAAAGCGGATCTGTCACTTTCTAGTATATCATAAAGCTACATTCTTTATGAAATACTAATCCTTGAAATCCCAATGCAATCCAAAGATAAGTTTAGACTACTTTGTCTTATGGGAAAGCCAGAGGTTGACAAAAGGCAGAGCTGTGCATTTAATTTTTGTCTAATTCAAGCAGCTGTCAAAGTGGGATTTAGGCATAGATCTTGTGGAGGCTCCCATGGTCTTGTAGGATCCTCCATAGATCTCCAGTGTTGTACTCTTGTGGCTCCTGGCAAAATGAAGGACCAGGAACTGAACTGAAGATGACCAGTAGTTAGACAATGGCAGAGGTTGCAAGAGACAACCTCAGGTAAGTAAAACTTACTTTTCCTTGTATCCTGCAGTCACGGAACCCACAAAGGGTCTGTCACGTTTCCGAAATTTGAAATACACTTTTAATTCACTTTCCATTTTTAACAATTTTCACTTTTGCAAATATATATATGTATTAGAGTCTTTGATATCTTCATCATGTTTCAGTATGAACGGATTTGACTGCAAACAGATCCTCATATATGGTTCGATATGTATGCCTTTAAGAAAGCAGAGTTATTTTTTACTAACCCTGTGGTAACCTGCCGTGATTACAACCTATCTCCTCCTCCTTATACAAGAAAGTCAGACTTTTCATCATGTAGATATCTGTATGACAGATCCTCTGCTTCTGATTTTCTTTCTTGCATGTTCCAATTCCTTTCTTCTCTTTCCATTGACTTTCAAGTGTGGCAGTAAATCAAGTTCAAGTTCCCTAATAAGAATAAGCTTGCCTGCTATGTACAGTATACCCTTTGTGTTCCTCTTTTGGAGCAAGGAGGGCAAGCCATAGAGCAGTTCTCAAGTAGTTTACCATTACATTGGAACACTGCTTCGCTTTGGAACTCTGACTATATGTTTCACATTTAAACAGTATTTGTCACATTGTAATTTGTAGCTGGCAGGTTAGAACATATTATTTTGTGGCACCATTGCGTTAGAAAATGCAAAGCATGCTATTTATTTTTATTTTGTGGTGCTTCATGGCCTGGATTTTTACTGCTCTTGTATTGAACTTGTATTAATCCTGATACAGAGGTTTAAAAAAAAAAAAAAATATTCATGTAGCAATATTTATCTATGTGTTAATTGACCATTAGGTAAATCCAAATAAAGGGGATAACCATCATGGTAATACAACACAGAAAAGAAGGAATTATCTCCAGATTATATTATTACCAATAATAATATACTTTATTGGAAATAAAAAATATGTGTATTTACAACTACAGTGCAGAACAAAACTGTGAATAGTAGTAGTGTGAAATGGCTCAAGCTATTTTAAAATATATAACTCACAGACTATATCCTTATAAAACAGTCAATCAAATCCCAAAGTCAAAAGTAACTCCGATGCAGGCACAGAGAAACTGTATCTAAAGCAGGACCGGGGCAAGGATTTTTGCCGCCCTAGGAAAAAGAAAAATCCCCCCCATGTGACATCACAATGTCCCACCCATATGATCTGCCATATGAACTAACACCAGTGCTGCACACGGTGTGTGTTTACATTACAAAGCCTGCAGAGACAGGCTGTAGACACCAGAACCACTACATTAAGCTGCAGTGGTTCTGGGGACTATAGTGTCCCTTTAATGTGAGGTAAATTAGAGATTAGTGTCACATATAATATACTAGATTGTCTATTTACAACCAGA